GCAACTGGAGACAAAGTTAGGTAGAAACACTATAGAGATAAAATTTGTACACTGATACACTTGAGCAAAAGGAGATATTATGATACATTTTTCGAAAATAATATGAGCAACATGAAAAAAACCTGGCAAGGAATAAATGAACTTTTACATCGACGGAAAAGAAACTTAAAAGTCATATCCGCACAAAAGGATTTTAATAGTCGCAACAAAATTGTAAAGGAAGGTTCGCGGATACCTAACGTTATTAATAAACACCTTGCAACAGCCGGAAACAGACCTGCTAATAACCTGCTCATTCCCCAAAAACGTCGTCTAAACTATGTTGATAAGTGCAAATCTCCAATTTCATCCTTCCTTTTCAATCAGTTTTACCCGAAGAATTATTGTCAGAAATATTACTTGTACCGAATGATAAATCTTGTGGTTTATACTCTTCACCTACCAAACTCTTCAAATGTTCAAGTGCCGTCATAGCTCCTGAACTTACCCATCAAAGCTCAAAATTGTTAAAATTTCGCCAATATTTAAGAGAAATGATGATACTGACGCAAACAACTATAGACCTTTCTCTTTACTTTCAAATTTTGATAGAGTATTCGACAAAATTATTTTAAAACAGATTGACGAGCTATATAAAGAAACACGAACTTTTTTATTCCTCACAACACGGCTTTCGTAAGGAGCATTCAACCCAACACGCAATATTAGATATTGCTAATGATATACAGACAAACATGAATCAACGATTGCTATCCAGTGAAGTATTCATTGATCTTAAAAAGGCTTTCGAATCCGTCGATCACGACATTTTGCTTGATAAGTTCAATCACTATGGCTTCGTGGATTAATTAATTAATGATTGGTTCTCCACATATCTCAAAAATCATCGCACGCAAACAACGCAAGAAGGCCATCATATAGCAGATAGAGCGGGCTTTGGATGTGGTGCTCCTCAAGGATCAATTCTTGGACCATTGCTTTTTTTTGCTATATGTCAATGATATCCATAGATGCTCGAATAAGTTTAGGTTTTACCTCTTCGCAAACGACACTAATATTTTGTATGCGGAAAAAAATCTGAGAGATCTTGAGACAATAGTCGAAAATGAGCTACAAAATCTTTATAGCTGGTTGACAGCCAACAAACTAACACTTAACATTAAAAGAATCCAACTTTGTAATTTTTCATCCTTACCAAAAGCGACTTGCCTTCCAACCAAAACTTTGCATGTTTGATAATGAAAAGAATATATATGTTTGCCTCGAGTCTAAAGTTTACATAAAATACCTTGGAAATACCACGTCGATTCTATTGTTACAAAAATTAGTGAAAATGTTGGGCTAATTGCAAAGCTACGCCACTCTGTACCTCGACCAATATTACTGAATATCTATAAGCCACTAATTCATCCTTATTTAATCTATGGTCTTGCTGCCTAGGATCAGGCGTGCAAGACTTATCTTAACAAAATTCTAATTCTCCAGAAAAGAGCTCTTCGTTTGCTGTACTTCGCAGACTGGCACGACCATGCAATTCCTTTATTTCTCGAAGCTAACGTGTTTCAAATAACTTTTCTTTATTATGAGTCGGTATCATCCTTAATGCACGATATCAATGATGATAAAGCCCTAGCAAACATGTTGAATTTATTTCAGAAAACTTCTAATATTCACTTATACAATGCACGATCGTCTACGTCTGGAAAGTTCTATGTTAAAAGTTCGAGACTAGAAATACAAAACAATTCTTTCTCTCGGCTCGGAGTAAAGCTGTGGAATAAGATACCAAGCTATATAACAGACCTTCGAAAGAAAGCTTTCAAAAGAGTTCTCCGCAAATTGCTATTTGATATCTTGGAAAAAGAGGATAATTATATTCAAATCCCCATGATTATTGAAAAGTAGGTACATAGATACACTTGCTAAGGGTTTAAATGTCTGCTTTTCTTTTTCTGTGTTATCATTTGGAAGTCAATGAGTCCTTGTCTTTAGATGTTAGATAATTTCTGTTATTCATGTCCTTGTGTTGCTCCGCCACAATTAGCTTTCCAGATATTTGTGGGGCAAACTATCTCACTTTCCTTTTTTTGTTCAAAGGGCATTGAATAAATTGAGTGAAATTGAGAGAATATCAGCTAATTTCTTCTAGACACATGAAGGTATGGATGTTAATATATTTCCTTAAAATTTCGACTGGCGACAGTCCTTTCCATTGTTAAAGGTTATTTTAATTTTCTGGCATCGAAAGAGCGTAGAGACCTTGTAAACATGCTGTCAATCATTATTATTACTAATCATTTTATTGTGGTTATTATTATCATAAATATCAAAATTATTAACGTTTTTTAGTAAAAGTGCACGGGACCAAACGTGCCTATAATTAACTGATAAAGGGGGTAACAGGGTAATTTAGTATCACCAACTGAGTTGATAACGTAAATTGTCCACCGTAAAGGGTTTCAAAGCTGACGTTCCGACTTTCTTAGCCCTTCGTCAGAGTGAAATATTTCTATCAATTACAGACATTTTATTTCAAAGTCAACAGATTTCTTTCCCTCTTTCTCGTGATAGTCTGTTTTAATAGTGTAATCTCCTGTATAGCAGCGCCACCCTATCGAACGAGCCATTGGATAACATATTTTGAAATATGAACATTTTACATGTTAAATCTCGATAAATCAATAAAATTTACTCAAATCCTGTGTGTCTGTTGTAGTTTCTGGCGATTTCTGCCGTTTTAAGCTGGCTTTACCATCAGTGTTATTCCTGACGTTTAAATATTCATAGTTCGAATTATTTATCGTTGTTAGTCGGCCATATTTCGTTCCCCATACTATTCCTTATAACATGTACTAATTTTCAACGGTTCCTCTCGTAACTTAACACCGAGTCATACAACGCCTGACGCTTTCATGAATTAATCGTTGGCTTTTTCTCGAGAAGTGAGCTTGGGCTGCCCACGATATAAATTTTTTCGAGGGACCTAATGGAATAAAATAATTAGGCGATGCAATTTAATTAACAAAAGCTCCCGACAAAACTTGGGTATGTATGTCAACTCTTTTGTCGCGGTTTATCAGAGGCGATTTCGTTGTTTTTGTGCGCTACCAAATAAAATATACACACAAGTATACAACGGTACATGCACCTAAGCCTTAATTGAAAAGGTCATAAATTAAAGAAAGCTGACTATGTCTGATCTTAAAATACAATCGTTTTATTTACAGACCTTTTTTTTCCCTCAGCATTAGGTACACGCAAATTACAAAGTTAAAGGAATCGACTGACTGTTGTGTGAGGTTCACTTGAACCTCTAGCGTACTTTCACGATGGTTTAGTGAGACTGAACAACTTCTCTGAAATGTTGCCTTTCTATCCAGACTTGCAGTGGCCATGGCCACCTTTCTCCAATAATCAGATTCAGTTACCGAAGTTAAAACATTTTTGGAAACATTCAAATTTTAACCCGTCTTTAAGCTCCCAGTTGGCTTGTTAGCTTAAGTGGTAAAGCACCGCCCAACAACCTGAGCCGACAAACTGGTGCGGTATCTCAGAGATCATGGGTTCAACTGACGTACAAGCCTGAATTTTTTTTTTCTTTTTTTGCCAGAGTAGTGGTAACCGCTGTGCAATGATCACTCTTATCTTCATTTATTAACCCACAGTTCAAATACTTATATGATACTCTTAGGGACGGAGCATTATTTTTCTGGAGGGGGGGGGGGGTGTGAGAAATATTGAAAAAAAACTGTCTGCAGGGTCTGAAAAGACAAAATAAACTATTTGCAAATGTGATTGGGTAAATAAAAATATATTTACAGAAATGCCATTTACAACAAATGGAAGCATTAGTATAAAATTAACACAATTAGGGCACTAAAAAGGGGTCACTCTGTATTACGCAAATAAAAAATCTGAAAATAGCTCAATATTTCTTGAAAAAATGGGAATTTATTGTGGCAATTAAATCTCAACGTTGCTTGTTAATATTTTGTTCTACTACAAAACTTCATATATTAGGTATTTTTCTCAAAACTGTATTAAACAAATAAATATTCTTCAATCTTGGCTATATTTATCATTGTTACTTTAAAGTTTATTTGGAGTGACCTATGGCAACGGCAATCATTTCAAATCAGCAATGTGCCTGCCTTCGCTCTTGGTATCACAAGCCGGATGGTACGAGTATGATAGCCCGTGGGAACATCAACAAAGAGGATCAGGACTTCGGTATTGTGGAATCTCTTAAAACGCCCGTTACTCCCTTTGCCTATTTCCTGTTGTATGACCTTTATTTGCGTCAGTAGCAGCCAAAAAATTTTAAAAGGTTAGTGGAGTGTAGATCGGTAAAATAAGTGGCTATAGCACTATTGATTATGTTCTTCGTAAAATAGTTCAATAATGCAATGGTAATATTTAGCACAATAAAAAGAACATCGAAAAAAAATGGGAAAAATTGTTTGCATGAAGATGATGTAAGGAACAAATGTTTGCAGGGATGTACATGTTTAAAAAAAATGTTACGGAAGAAAAATTTTAATACCCCCCCCCCCCCCCCACACACACACACAGAAAAATGATGGTCCGTCCCTTATATCCGCAGTCGTTCTTTAAGCTTCAGTCGCAAAGTAATAAAACCATGCTCCCGTGGCCTGGCCAAGAGCAGCGAGAATACTAAAGCTCCTCCTTCAGTTCCTTCCAAGATTTTGGTCGGTAAGTGTAACACTGTAGGCCCGAATTACCCCGTTACACCCTAGAATTAGTACGCTTATTCTCTATACTGCTCTCTATGAATTTACTATGATGCTTACAAGGAGAATTTGTTTAACAATCAAGATCCTCATTAAATGGCGATCATCTTTCTTTTCACTACCCGAATATTGACTTCAGGAGAGATACTGTAGATAAAATTAGTCTTCTAGTCATTCTAAGAGGTTAAGAAACAGTGGCAAGCGTTCAATGGATGTACAGCCCTTTTGGGTCTCACTGGGTTATAATATTCAAGCGACAGGGCCCCTACTCACAAGCGGAGTAATCTGTGTGGGACGTGAGGCCTTGCTCGTAGCATTCCCTTTCGACATAACCGCGGGGGATACTCGACACTGCCTGGTGGAGCAACCAAACGGTAGCAGCGCCAGCATATGCCTCCTGAAACGGTCACTCTGCAAGCTGTATAACACAGGATTGATAGCAGAATTAAAAGTGACCAAGACGATGCTTGCCGTGTGTACGGCGGAGTACAGTTGCTGTGTGCTGAATGAAGAGAAGACGTACACTACCAGGTTGGGTATCCAACAGATCGAGTAAACCACGCTTACGGTGACCACTAACCGAGCGGACTTTCTGGTGTAACGTAGCTTGCTCTGTTGGACCATGGTCGAGGTAACCAAAGGACGAAACCACAGCTTGTAAACCAGCTTAGAATACAAGTAACTCATGATGGAAATCGGTAGAACCCCGTACAACACGGTGCATAGTGGGCTGTGAACTTGCGGGAAACTCGCTGTGGGCCATTGGAACAGGCAGAACTCGCTAACAGGGTCGTAACGTACATACAGGAAAAGGGGTAAGTTCCATGAAGCGGCGAACACCCAGCCCAATACAACAACACATTTTAACTTAGCGGTTGTTACCCGCTTGCGCTCGTCGTAGGGGAATTTAATAGCGAGATAGCGCTCTAGCGCTATGCAGACGAGGGAGAAAGTGGAGGCGAGCGCACCGACCCATACAAATGTTTCCCCTGTGAACAACTGGCAAACCACGTCACCGGCTCTTCCTTTCGGATGCATGAACAGTAGTGGGAAGATATAGCGCACCGCGATGAAAATCGCCACAGTTATATCCGAAGCCGCTAGGTTGACCAAAAGATAGTTCATAGGGGTGTGCATTATTCGGTTGTGGTAGACTACCAGGCAAACCAAGGTATTGCCGATGAGGTCCGCAATTACCAAGAAGCAGAAAGCGGCAGTGATTCCAATTTGGGCAGCCTCTGAGTATTTGTAAAGGGACATCTTTGTAGCTGTATTTCTGCTCAAGAATGAGAACACAGCCTTACGTTAGTGAAATATGTAGCGTGCATGCTACTGGAAAGTAAAAGAGGAATATTAATTTCTGACATACGATAATCAAACGTAATTTCGGATATTGGACTTAGCTTGCGCAGAAATATTGAATATAGGCAAGCTTGTACTTTTTTAATTTTTTATTCAAAAAAACTTCACTCAAGCTTATACTTACTGCTCATCAAAACTGAAACTAAAATTTTCAATTTAAGCCGAATTTGACCACTAAAAGGACAGTGTGCGCTTCATGCTTGTGATTGGACAGTGTAAAAGGTCAGTACGCATCATGTACGCACGCTGTTGTCGCGTATTTCTTGGAATCCACTTCGTTGTTGTTGTTTTTTTTTATTTTTATGAAAATTTATAACCGACCGACACTTGGATCTTCTACGGTCCTTTTCCCATCCTTTCGATTTGTGACGTACATCGCTCTCAGTTGGCCTTCATTTCCTTCATATTGATCGAGTGTTTACTCAATCGTAAAACTTGACAGCGATCCTCGGCTTCTTTGAGCTGCAGATGTTTCTATGGTCATTAAGTGAAGTCCAAGTAAATATTCCTTACACCGAAAATAGACTCGAAGTGCTCTCACTTCATAGTTACAAGTTGTAGTTTGAACTAGCAAATACTGTCTCTTTACCAACCGTTTTACAGTGAAAACAATGCTGGATATCGCAACTAATCTTGCTCTCCTAGTTTTTCTTTCCATAGGTTTTGAAGAGGAGACGTGCGTCCAAAATCCTCCATAAAAAATTCGGCTTAATTTCCTTGAGAGCACGATTGCCTCGGGGCAAAATGAATTGTCGGTTTTTTTCAGTGACTGTAATGTGTAGTGCGAGACCCTTGAATTTTGCTCACAGTGTCTTTTGATCTCGTAATGTTCCGTTCTCTCTTGGCTCGGCTTGACAATCAGCTTTTTGTCTTTTGTCCTTACGAGGAGAGGAACAACAACGGCAAAAAAAATGTGCCTATTGACAGTTCATCGAAACTTCTATTGTAATTTGATTATTTGGTAAATTATTGCTTTAAAGACGTCTGTTTTATTCATTTTGATGATAACAATACGAATTCTGAAGCCAGAAATCGGCTTAAAAAACTGTTTAATGCCATCCCTTGATTGACGACCAACTGGTTTTATTCATTAAGCTTTGAACTAAATATCTATAATGATGATTGCTGTGGTTAATTTTACTAATGGCAAGAAAAATGTTGCTATCGAAACCATTCTTAACTGGCACATTTCACAAACATCTAGTCTTTACAAAAAGGAAGAAAAAAAGAAATATACCCCTTACTTATTTTTAAAAGCTTCAGTATTCCCTCAGAATTGCTATTTTCTTGAGATTCGCGGACGAGATGACAGCCAAGGTTTCTTAGTGTTCATTTTGTGCATTGGCTAAAATATATGCCAATATGCAAGTGATGCCCACATATCCTAATCACAGCTATCATTGAATACTCACGAATCATGGACAAGCGATGCAGAGTGGGTTCCAATTAGTCGACAGGTGCATACTTTTCATTCAACGTATCTAAATTCATCATTGGATATCAAAGACTGAATAATTAATATTTTTTCACATCACCTTCACTTGTGTAACCAAAAGCCCTTTACATTTTCCTTTAAATTGAGAAAAAAACACTCTTCAAAGCGAAACTAATAAGAAAAGCAACAACGGTCTGAGTACATGCCCGTCGATTCACGATCAGCACAAAAGCAAAGTGCAGCCTACCTAACAAAGTTTGATTTAAGTGCACGACTCTCCAATATATATTTGACGAAACATTGAGTCGTTTAAGTCTGAAATCTGATCATTTTTGACAAACGCTTAATCTTTGATATCCAGTCAAATTAATTGCAACCAATCCACTTTTTGACACTTTGGACATTTCAAATTCGTTGTTCATATTTTGAATTGTCAGGATGCATGCGTAGGTAACTATTGAAAAGTCCTGAAGAACATTTCAGAGACATCATGACATCGTGCTAATAGATTTGTTGTAGTATTTTTACTAACTGAATAGGCACATGAATATGAAAGCGATCATCGCAGTAATGAACACTGCTTGAGCAATAGTGAAAATAAGGCCTTATTTTCATTACTGCCCAAGTAGTTTTCATTACTGCGAAGATCACGTTCATATTTACGTCTTTATCCGCAGTTCAAATATATGACTTTCATATATTCACAGTCGTCTGAATAAGCATATTTTTACTTACGTCTTTATCCGCAGTTCAAATATATGACTTTCATATATTCACAGTCGTCTGAGTAAGCATATTTTTACTTACGTCTTTATCCGCAGTTCAAATATATGACTTTCATATATTCACAGTCGTCTGAATAAGCATATTTTTACTTACGTCTTTATCCGCAGTTCAAATATATGACTTTCATATATTCACAGTCGTCTGAATAAGCATACTTTTACTTAATTTAAGCAGTGTTCACTATAAGCCGCGAAGATCCCTTTCATAAACATTTCTTGGCCCGCAGTTCATATATATGACTTTCATATATTCACAGTCATTTATTCATCAGTTCACGGGTTTCTTACGAGGTAACATAATAACTAGCTCCCATTTGGCTTGTTAACTTAAGGGTTGGTAGAGCACTGCACCGGTATCGCAAAAGCCATGTTTTCAAATCCCATACAGGCCTGATTTTTTTCAGACCTTATTTTCACTACTGCTCGAGTAGTTCTCATTACTGCAAAAATCGCTTTCACATTTATTTCTTAATCATCAGTTAACATCTATGATTTTCATGAATTCACAGTCATTTGAATAATATATTTTGCGTCCAACGTTGTTATCCATGAAAATTTTCTTTACTCTTTTTGCCGCGGCAATAACTTGAAAAAAAAATGTTGAAATCGTTGAGAACAGAAAAAAAAATGGTAAAAACATGCTAATTTTCGCCACAGAAAAGTCTGTTCCAAGAGAATATGAACTCTTCTCTATTTCTATCTTGTCTCTATTACGTTTAACACTGAGGAGTTGCACAACCCATTGTTGCTCAAACTAGTCCTAATAGTACATCGTTTAGAAATGACTTTTCAAAGAGGACGCTGAAAAAGTTCTAGATAGTTGCGTCTATACCTTACCTCAAGCTTTGTTAACTCTTGTAAAGGATGCTCTGGTTAAAATTCTGTGCGCAAACCTTCTCTATTTAGTTTCTTTGGCAAACTTTGCCCTCAAGTGCACCTGTCTCGTCACCTGTCAAGATTATAAATGACATACCGTTTGCTTTTTGCTAAGATTTTTCGCCGTTTGGGGCCATGGTGATTTATCGATTTTATTGCTGTATTTCCATGCCAAACAAAGATTCACTAAAAAATGGATTTGAAGACAAACTCTTAAAATCAAGATATCGAAAATTTACGGTCAAATTTGTTATCTTTGAAAAATTCACTCGTGCTTATTAACACCAAATTGCACTCGAAATCATGTTATTACTTTTAGACTAATATGACACTCAGACCGGACCAAACTTGTTTATTTTAACTTTTTCAGATTTGCATACACAAATATGGTAAAATGCGGACCGAGTAAGAACCAATCAAAACGCTCGGATTTACTTGCCATATAATAATACATGTGTGTACTTGTTGACAGAGGAGGAGGGCCGGAAGGGGAAAATTTTGTGACTCGAGGTCAAGACATACAGACCGAACGCAGCGGGGTCTGTGCTTCACGGCTGGGAGCCAAATACTTTCCCGTCTGGCCCGACCTAACTCAGTCATTAGTAATTTTATCTTTCTTTTTCTTCTTTTCTTCTCTCAGTTCCCAGCTCACGGGGCCGCACAGCTCTTTAAGGCCCTGCTAACGCCATCGCGTACAGCCCTCACGCGGGGATTTTTGTCTAAAGTAGTTTCAAAAGCTCAGTCTAAACGTATATTTGTTAGAACTTACTTATTATTTAGGTTTGAATATGCACAAATATAAATATATGTATGCAAGAGAATGTCAGCTGATTTCCTCTCGACACATAATATATAGGTTTATAATACATTTCGGATATAACGCGCACTGTCATTGGTTGAAAGAGCGTGCTCTACGAGAGCATACAGTATAGAGCTGAGCTAAAGCTGTCACGCCGTCTGCCAAATTGTACTATGTCTGACTTTCTCCGGGACTTTTCCCTAGTTTTTTTTTCTTTAATTGAAATTGAAATTTCGGAACAGGCAAGTCGGCAAATAACAACAGAGGAACCAAAGAAGGTTTGTTAACATACCAGGCGCCTTAATTGACGTTATTATAAGGTGAGCAGAGACGAAAATCCTCAAAGAGTAAACGAAATGGACGGTCCGAGTTTTGAAGGTTTTCAAACTTAGCTAGAATGCAAGCTTACTTTGCGTAATAAAAATCAAGCACAGCTAACGCTCGTGTTTTATATATAATTTCGTGTTCAAAAACGAAACAGAACAAAACAGGAATGATGAAAAATACAGCCAAACTGGGGTGAATGCCAAAACTCATACTAATCATGACGGTGTCATGCTGAGGTCCAACGCGGCTAGCTCATCTTGTCGATTTCCGGTCATCGCAGTCAAGTAAGCCTCAGAAAC